GCCAGTGGGCTATTTGAGGTACATGTGGTGTGTGAATTCTGACTTAACTTAGGTAAAATTGATGACACAATAGACAGACTGTCGAGGTGGCAACGTCTTAGTCGAGAAGTGCCCTGATATAAAGAGAGATAGTGAGGCAGCGATACAGGAATTAAATTGTTAAGAACTTTGTGGAAAAAAATAAGATCATTCAAGTCAAACTTTTGAGACAAAGGGAGAATGTCGACAAGCTTGCACTTTTTGACATATTGCTCAGGTGGATAACTGCGGCCCTCTTCAGACAGAATCCATTTAATAGCTCTCTTTTGGAGACTTTCTAATTTATCACTAAGTGATTTATTACAAGGGCGCCAGATTATGGAACAATTTTCGAATTGGCTACGAACCAGGGAGAGGTAAAGCGCCCGGCGACGTTTCTGATCGATGACAATATGGCCATCTCTTCTGACCATACCAAGTTGTTGGCAGGCCTTAGTATAAATTCTGTCGCACTGACTATTCCAACTTAGCTTAGGAGTAACATCGACTCCAAGATCTTTTTCTAACTCTACATACACAAGAGGAGAGCCATCAAGATTATATGCGAATGGAGGAGATAAAGATGGTTTTCCTGAAACAATAAGCACTTTACATTTTGCTGGATGGAATCGCATTTTGTTTCTTAGTGCCCAGTCAGAGAGATAGTCTATATCCATTTGTAAATTAGTATTATCGGAAGATGAATGTATTTTACGCCAGATTTTTGTATCATCGGCATACAAAACAATATCAGTATTATCCGAAAGGCCAAGAGGAATATCATTGATAAACAATACAAAAAGTAAGGGACCAAGAATAGAGCCCTGGGGGACACCAGAATTAACTGAGAGGGTAGATGACATCTCATTACCAATAACCACTCTTTGGTAACGGCCTTGAAGGTAATTGGTAAGAAATTTGAGAAGTGTACCATCAATGTTATATAAGGTCTTTAGCTTATGAAGAAGGATATCATGATTTACAGAATCAAATGCCTTAGCAAAATCAAAATACACAACATGATTGATAATGTTTTCGTTAAGAGACAATGCCAGGCTATCACAAAAGTCAACCATATTGGTTGTGCATGACTTGTGCTCTAGAAAACCATGCTGCCTGGGATCAAGAAGGGTACTTGTCAAAGAAAGCAGTTTACGTTTAACAATGCGCTCAAAAACTTTCATGACTAAACAAGTAAGGGATATTGGTCTATAGTTTTCAACCTCACTTTTCTTACCTTTCTTAAATATTGGGACAACATTTGCAAGTTTCCATTCTTGTGGAATGTAGCCGCTGTTGTAAGATCCACGAAAAATGCATGTTAGAGGGTAAGCTAAACCTACGGAACAATTTTTGAGAATTTTACCGTGTATGCCATCTGGTCCCTGGGCTTTATTTGAATTAATATTTGAAAGAAGCTTACGAACATCCCGATGATCGAAGTCAATATCAAAATCAACATCATTGACATAGGAGATGTCAGTGTCATAAAGTGAAGGATCCGAAAACTGGTTATAAAAGAAAGAATTGAAAAGTTCAGCTTGAGCTTTGGGTTTGAACCGAAGCTGTCCAGAATAACTAACACAATTAGGAATACGGCAGGAGTTAGATTTATACTTAACATGTGACCAAAACTTCTTAGTTATAAGCGCTGGATCATCACTATTGAAAAGATTGTCTCTTATTTTGGCTGATGAAAGCCTCTTAAAATCTTTACGGCTAGTAACAAACTTTAACTCATCAGAAATAGAACCAGAAATTTTAAATTTAGCTCTGAGTCTATCTTTTTTACGGCATGAAGAGAAAAGTTCACTATCGAACCACGGGGGTTGAAACTCTGATTTAATAGTTACTTTAGGAATATGTATATCAACTAAATTCATAATGCAGTCTTTAACTAACTTCCAAGACGAATCAGGATCTAGGCATTCTAGGACTTGCCAATTAATCGAGCATAATTCACGATTAATCATGTCCCAGTTTGCTTTCTTATAATTATAGATTTTACGTTTAGGAGTTTTCTTGCGGGAAAAGGAGCTTTTAATTGAAAAAGTGACAGGAAAATGATCAGATTTGCACACGGAATGAGGATCACAGACATTCAAGTTATCGATTGTGTTATCATAATTACTGAGAAGAATGTCTAATGTATTACCACTTTTATGGGTGGGTGATGTGATCAACTGGGAGAGAGAAAGATCACTGAAAGAATCTATGAAGGATTGCTCAATAGGTACGGTACTGGATGAAGATAGCCAGTCTGTATGGGGGAGATTAAAATCACCAATAACATAGATTTTAGGGGGATTCTTTTTGGAAACTAGCTTGCGAATATAACTAACTATTACATCATGATTAGGTAACCCAAGAGTTCCTACTCTATAACAAGTACAGATTACAATACTCTCTTTGTTAGGAAAAACAATTTTAACGGCAAGCATTTCTGCACCTAGGCTAACTGGTAGTCGGGTTGTAGTGGCATCGAGATCAGACCGAACAGCCAAAAGAACACCACCTCCATTTTCCCTAAACTTTTTAGGGTTATTAGGATCTTGAGGATGAGTCTTTCTCGTGCGGTCATTGCGGAAGATTTCATATTGAGAAGAAGGAAAGATTTCGTTGCTAGAAACAGATTTTTTGAGCCAAGTCTCATTTAGGGCAATTATGTCAGGCTGCTCTATGTTAGCAAAGGATTGAAGTTCGGAAATCTTATTACCATCAAGAAGGGGATGGAGGGAGCTTAGGTTACTGAAAGGAATAAGACCTTGGACATTTTGGTAGAGTACAGATAGGGAGTTGGGACCTGGATTAAGCATAGAAGGATTAACAAGAGTTATCAAAAGAAAGTTAAGAGAGAAAACCCAAAGAATGAATAAAGATACTAGACGCCTGAGGCGGCTGGAATACTTGACTCTATTCATCTTACCAGGGAGAAGAACATTTCTTATAAACCATGAGGAGATAATTACAAAGAAAAGTTTGATGTGGGAGCAAGCAAGAAATGGTATAAGATAACGTGGGCTGTCAAGGAGTAGAGAGGAATGAATATTAGAATCTAGGGGGAATACGGTGTTCATGGACCTAGTCGTGGAGAGAAGAATTGGGAGAAGGTAAGTCATGATGAGAGAATAGAAGAGAAACATATGATTATGATAATTGTAGTTGATGTGTGGGGTGCATGGAGAATTAAATGTGTAAATTTTGTTAGGTATAAACGTGTTCATATGTATATGTGCATTTCTTGACTGTGTACGAGGCCTTTTGCATGCAAAAAGACCTATTCTAAGTCTAAACGATTCATTGTCTAACATATGGGAAAATGGGCAGTGACCGAATGTACCTGAAATAGGAGGCATAAAATTGAGAAAAAGATTAAATCAGAGATTTGTTTGAGTTTAAATTTTAGGCGCAACGTCTTAATCAAAATATTAAATGAAAGAAAAGATCAAAGATTTAAATTCCCAGAAGATTATTTACAACCCTGTCAAAACTGTGTTCGTTTACAACAAACTTAAGCCAAGTGGACAGTAAACCTACTCCTCTCATGTTGAGATGAAGCCAATCATGGTATAGAAGTTCATTACAGGATCTAAAGTCTCGAGTTAAAAAGTCTGAGAAACAGTCTAAGAACACGCAATTATTATTTAGGCATAAGTCTTTAAGTAGATTATTAAAATCTAGAACATTCTTTGCTATGTAGGAATATAAACACTTAATAGGAAGACAACATTGGATAATTATAATTGCAGCGGGAAATAACTGCTTAGTGGTGTCAATCAAGTCATTAAGATACTTCCTAAGGAACTGAACCCCATACTTAGAATGTTTTATGTCATTTGTACCAACACTCAATATAATCTTTTCAATATCGTCAGCTTCTGCAGCTGCATGAGTTTTATGAAAATGCTGAATATTTTCAGTGATATCTCTAATTTTTGCACCACTTTGGGACACATTGATTACTTTCCTTCCCCGGAATCCCAACTTATTTGTCCGTACGAATTTTGTCATTGACGTACCAAACAGGACAGTGGTTTTCCTGCTCTTCGGTTTTCTTGGAGCATTTCGGTAGTAAAGGGTTGGTGTTGAGGTGGTGGTGGGCGGCATAGGAATTGTAGTGAGGACATTCTGCTCCCTGACTACATTTGTATCTGTCTTCGGTATCTGGCAGCGAAAAGATAAGCTATACCGAGTCTCCTTAGCTGATCTCTCTGCACGAACCTTGTGAAGACAATATTCCTGACACCCCGGTTTCATAATATACAAACTACAGTCCTTTGGGGTGATATGGCATTTACTGTTACATCGCTTATCCCCATTTTCTGGAATTATGTCTAGGGTCCTCTCAGCTCCAAATGAAACTACATAAATACCTTGCGACTGGTCAAGAGACACCTCGTCGTCGTTGTGGTACCTAGTTGCACAAGAACCAGACTTGTACATGCTTGCTAGGCATGAGTTTAGCTTGCAGCCAAACTTGGAGTTGATATCATGCATAAGCTCTGATATCCCAGGATAATTTAAAATATCGATTGGCTCCTTAGTCGTGGTGTGTCCATTTGAGGAAGACCATACATATTCTTCTCCAGTGGAAGTGAGCCACTTTGTGGCAGTTTTCACAGCAGTTTGCTTGGCCATAAGTGTTTCAAGTTCAGACATCAACGTGCCATGTTGAACACTCTTGTTTTGAACAAAATCTGAATGCAACTCCAAGAAGTCCTCGCATTTAACAGAATCCCTCTTCAGTTTCATGACATTCTCAACACTGGCCTTAAGAGCTTTCAGCTCTTTTAATGAAAACGAGTTTAAAACATTGGTAACAGAATTCAGATCCATAGTGAAGGAAAGAGGGAGGAGAAGATGGCGGTGAGGGAGGAGAAAATGGCGAAGTCAATACTGTAGCCCAGGAAGTAGAACTAGATGCGTTGCTTAGGATACAAACGGTCACGTCATAGTCTCTTCTATCGCTTTGACATTGGGACCTCAAATTATTTGTTATATAGTAGTGTTGAAAGTATTAAAACTGATATAGTAGTGTTGAAAGTATTAAAACATAAATAGAGAGTGCGGTTCAAGACGACATTTTCGGAAGAGCCTACAGTACGATATTATAACAATGCCAGCAAAGACTACAGTAAAATTTAGGTGGCATGAAAACTACCCCCTATACAGGACCATTCACATTCTAACTTAATTAAGATATCAGTTTTCGTCTCAAATGATCACGGAGATTTACCCCCACGTTCTTCCCGAAAGCGGAATCATCACCCATTAACTACCCCGCACACACAGCACACACAACATCCCCCCAAACATGACTTAACAGCTCCTCATTACATTAAACCTTTTGTTTAAGTAGCCTGTTACCAGGAAGAACCGCTAAAAAGAGAAATCACTAAAGACAGAGTGCCGCCCAGACTGATGGACAGGCACCCGTTTAGGTCACAACATGCTAACACGATGATATAATGCACTAAATTTAATTATTTTATACTTTTAGCTTCTAAATAAGCTGTCACTAATTCGGTGGCTGCAGGTTTCCTGACTATAGCAGAGTATAGCCAGTCGCCCGCCGTGAGCATGTTCAGTATCACCTAACTAATAGCTGGCACCTCCCTTTTTCACTGAGCCTTTTTCTAACCGTGTATTCAAGATTTCAAGATTATTTGCACAGGATTGCAACAATTTAAAGCTTAAAGTACGCAAGGTATGTCATTGTTTATGAAGCCATTGACTGCATTTGTGGATCAATGATCGTACTGGCATTTAACGTCTCCGCAAAACATAACTGGTATTTACTGAAACAATATGGAACTTTTCCGCAAAACATAACTGGTATTTATTGTAACAATATGGAACATAAACTAAGATTATTTACCAGTTGGAACTTATTTGGTGCCACTAACTACCTCGATAGCACGAGATTAGCCCTATACATATTAGGCATTAGCGCAATTAAAACAAAATTTACAAAATTTACACAACCTGATGACTGATTGCTCTACATGCGGTAATAATATATACTACAAAGTGATCAGGCACAGGTTTACTGCTGTATAAGTATAACTAAGAAACTGTTCGAAAGTTGGGCGTAGGCGTCTCGAAAAAAGGTCAACTGAAGTGCAAATTGATCACAAATTGCTTCTTGCGCTGACGCACCTTATTGGCATCAATGTTTTGACATCCTATCGTCTTGGCACCTGGTACAATTATACTCCTCGAAATCGTGGTTATGGAGTGAAAACTAGTCGATCAAATTATACTCAAACGAACAAATAATACACAGATGGATATTGGATATGAGAAATTATTTCTGAAGAAACTGAGATTCAGTGAATAAAAAAGTGTGCCGATAAGACAATAAGCATTTGTGTAATTGGGGAATAAGGTTTCCAATTACGTAATTTGTCTTTGTCTGATAATTGATTTTTCGCCGCAGACCGCCTATCTCAAAATTCAGATTTTTTCCTGTAAATTTCTTTTACAACTGTCCGGCAATTAAACAGCAAGGGTTTCTTGGTCGACAAAGATATGATTAAATAATAAATATATATATGGGTAATCGATTTTTATTTTGGCGAAAGACCCGTATAACTTTGAACTATCCAAAGAAACCGTAAAGCGAATTTTTATTTAGAAGACGAAAGGGATAATGGATATGACGATATTATCGGCAAAATCACAACCTGGTAACCTCGACAAATGTTCTGTGAGAAACTGTCAGTCAAATATTTCATTATCGGCAAATTTATTGACGCTTCGATTATGTCATAATGCAACGCAGCGATCCAACGGACGATATCTGTTTTCAACTCAACCAACGGTTTCTGCTTACCAGTATGCAGACTGATGAATATTCGAATAATGTTATGGAATTTTAAAATGAATGCATTTCTCGGGATTCCAGAATTGTCGCCATTTATCCGACGAATTGATATTTTCGCAAGCAAGATAAGCACATTTAATAGCAATTATTTGGGCAATAGCTTGACTATCTTTATGTTTTATCTGTCTTAACGCTGTGTCTGTTTAAAATTTAAACCATTTTCTTAATCGAATGACGGAAATGGCAAAATTTATTATCACCAAGGCAATTGATAACGAAAATAGTGAAAGTTTTGACGAATTATTATTATTTATTATTTGCTTCACAATTTGTGCCATCTATTTGAGAATTCCTAAAATGTTGATGGTGAATGATCTCACACTCACATGAAACATTGACGCTTATAACTTAACATGGTGGGTTAGAACTGACATAATTACATTATGACTTTATACTGAGATCATGATATAGTTTCAATCTTTTCTGAGGGTCGGTGACTCTGTATATTTAGATCATCTAGTTAATAGTTGCAATATTCTCTGACGGAGGATTGCCGACAAACACTTCAGCTCATTCGCATTGATAACTCAAATTTTAAACTTAACTGTAGAATATTCGATACCAAGATCATGTTGTCGGTTGTTCTTTTTAGTTTATGATCTAAAGTTGGAGCGTAAATGAAGAACAGGACCGAGTTGTATTGCAAAGTACCTCCGTGAGGCTCACTTGTCTTCTGAGTAGAAGACACCCCCGTGTATTCAATGAGCTGATATTTGATATCACTAGCTCCGTTAATCCTTCAGACCGTCCAACGGTTAATCAATTGTTTATTAATTTTCCCTGAATAAAAGCTGTAACTGGCGGAGTCGCCATCCGACCAGTCGGGAATTAGAAGTTTAATCGTCCCTGAAGAGCCCTGTCAATTAATCCTCGTAGTGACTTATTGGAGCTTGGTAAATTAGCTAACAAAGAGTAACATTGCATCCCTTTTGTTAAGAAACCGACAACGAGAATTGGACGGGCTCTTTAACATCAAGATCCGCATATATAAGGTCACATGGCCCTTGCTAGACTGCAGAAACATGTCGGTCACATGATATAAGTTAGACCTAAGTACCAAACAAACCAGCTGTCAAGTTGTGGTCTATTGTCGGGGCCCACCTGGCCCATTCTCACTACTACCACCCTGACTGTAGTCAAATATATTCCTCTCTTCGGGCAGCATTGTAAGTGCAACTAGGCTGAGCTGTAGCTCACCACCGCACTGTGTCCGCCCTCTCAAGACGTAACCTGATATTATAAACTGAGTAAAACGGTCAAAGTTTCGAGCTCTAACTCCGCCGTTTGATTGGATCACGGTGAGTCATGTGATGGAGGGTTATGACATCATCTGCTGTTCTGCGCTACGATTGGTCGTGACGTCACGTGATTAAATGCAACGTCACGGGGTCACGGGAACCATTATACATGTGGACTCGAGGGTAGAATTATCGCAGCAATTTATTATTTATTTGGACGCTTAGTAATAACGCTGAGAGAGGGCTCGCATTAACCGGAGCTGGCTATTGCTATAATATAAAGTTAGAGGAATAGGTCATGTGACGCCCTATCACGTGATACTAATAACCAGCCGACTAAAGACCCGGGAGGGAGGGAGGGAGGGGGTCAACACGCCATTCCTCGGTCCACTGAGCGCCGACCTTTTGTCGGGGACCAGCACTAGACAGAGTGAGTAGCAGGTCCTTCCATTGTGGAACAAACAACTGGTAACAGAAGGTCCGGGGGATAACAATAATGCAGCTCATATTTAATGTGATGACGATATTAGACCCACAAGGGCATTAATACTTTCAGCAGACTGTTATCATTATAATTACAGTTTCTACATTCTGCTGTTCACGACATACGGCTCATCACTTGGTAAATGGTTCGTGCCCTTCTTCGTGGCCTATCTCCGTAAAAACGGATAATCAATGGCCATTTTCAGGGACTTGTACCGGAGTGGGGGGCCCTTGTACCAGTCAAAACTTAGAACTGTTATCATTTTTAACCTTCATTATCCGTAAAAACGAAAAAAATAAGGTTATTTCCAGGGACTTGTACCAGGCAAAACATAGAACTGTTATCGTTTTTTGAAACTCAAGAAGCTTTATTACAAGTCTAGGTCGAGTAATTATGTAAGGACCTAGTGTGGCTATACTAGTTTCCATTAACTACCCCACTTAATGCTACCACTATATTCTCGTACTATATCACTAGTTTCCAATAACTACCTCACTTAATGCTACCACCGGTTCAAATATTAGAGTTGGGTTCGAGCGAGAACATAACAGTCGAGATCTATAAATGAAATAAATAAATATTCTTTTAACAAAGTATTTTAGTAATGAGGAATCATTTATGGTAGTGCTGGAGGGATAATAACATTAAAAAATATTTACAATACTAAGAAGTTGTGAAGGAACAACGAAAGGTGCAGTGGAGGTCTGTAAATGGGATATATAAGGTTACCTTTAACAAAATATTTATTATACAAGAGTGCAAGGGAATGATTTTGTAAGGATAAAAATAGCTATTATCGGGTGAGGCTCCGATATTGCAACACACTGCCAAATCTATTAACAGAGTTTTAAGACTTTTTAACTCTTGCAACAGCGACAATTGCAGAGAAGTGCAGCGACAACTTTATATTTACCTCCGATGATTTTACTATAACGGAAACTGAAAAGAAGATACGACTACCCATATCATTACTGCTGTGACGTGAATGTTGCTTCATCGCCCGATTGAATGGCTATCTGAAATATCAGCTGAAAGAACTATTGAATAATACCATATATGGTCATTACTCAATACAAACCATGGATTCTCCCCTAACTCTGTGATAGGAGTACTTTCACTTTAAACGTTGTAATTATTGTGGAAGCGAGAAACCGGAACTGGAAAATGAGAATCATAGAAACTACCAATATTATTACAGTTCCAACGTACGTGTTTAATACTCCGAACAACTGCTCACATTGCCAACAAACGATAAGCTAATTTTACTGACAGTGATGACACATGTAGTCACTGAGTGTTATGACTTATGACGCACCAACACTGTTCTTCCTCCTTATATTCTCCGACTTTTATCCCGGTAACCTGGTAACCTGGTAACCTGGTAACCTGGTAAGATGGTAACCTGGTAACCTGGTAACCTGGTAACCTGGTTACTTTTATCCCGGTAATATGGACTGGACTACTAGGTTACTAGGGCTACTAGGTTACTAGGTTACAAGGTTACTAGGTTACTAGGTTACTATGTTACTAGGTTACTAGGCTACTAAGTTACCATGGTAACTGGACTACTGGACTATCCCTTTTCTTCTCTACATGTGTCTCACGAGAAAAAGTGAGTCGGTAGTTAGCAATCAGAATACATAGTGCTACGTGGGGGCTTGTTGTCATGCAAGTGATTGAGTAACAGACATGTAAACTAAGATTGTAAAATGTAGGTGGAGTCAACTCTCAGAGTGCTATCAGCTAAACTAACTCAATAAACTGATATAAGTTAAAGGAAAATATGTTAATAAATAACAGTAGAACTAGTGGTGTAAGGACGAATACTAGTGGAGTATACACTAAGAAAGTAGTAAACGGAAAAAATATGCTAATAAACAGTAAGTAAAAGAAAAATAAGCTGACACTTGTAATAACACGAAATACACTGCTAATAGATACCGCAGATTAACAACAAAGCTTAATAACAAAGCTTAATAACAAAGCTTAATAACAAAGCTTAATAACAAAGCTTAATAACAAAGCTTAATAATACCGACTTTATCAAATATCAATAATAAGGATACGGAGAATACACACAACACGATTATTAGGCTAACGATCCTATAATAACTAGCTACCACCAGCTAACGAGCTCACTCAGTACACAAACTACTAGTCTACTGATATTTGGCAGTATTAACAGTGTTTAGACCTGCTCACCAAGAGAGAGAAGAAAACTTAGAAATACTTGGTGTCATCTCGTGTACTGTGCATGATGAGATATGATCTGGGTAGCTGATGTGTCAAGATAGGAGAGAGAGGAATGTTACTTCATCTGCAGGACATTGTACCTGGATCAGCGGATTATTGAGTTTCTGCACCATGTATGTCTTCGTCAGCCGGCTAGTCAGGGTTTGTCAGACGTAGTATTATATTATACTCATATTTTAATATATTATGTGTTGAAATATGGCTTGTCTGAGGAATTGGAAATTTGGCACTCAGCCCCATTTCACAGGAACCTTGTTTCACCACTTATCTGTACGACCTTTTAAGTTTTTCCCGCATATTTATTTGATACTGTCATTCATTTATTATTTGTACAGATTCACTTAATGAATTCTATTAATAGTCCAACAATTTATCGTATTAATTATACGTTTTAAGATACAGCATCACCAAGAATAACTTGAAAAATGACATTTATAATGGCCGCTGTGCCACCTGGATGAACCACAAATTAGTCAGGCACAAATATACTGTCTCAAGAGTTGTTCATTACTTTGTTTCAGGTCTATTGAAACATACTGTCTCAAGAGTTGTTCATTACTTTGTTTCAGGTCTATTGAGGGAACAGTGAAGATTCCACTGAGAGATTGAGTTGTTATTGTCTAACATTGAGAGACATTAATTATAATTAGGTCTCAATAATATGTCCTTATAATACATAAGTTCCCACGTGCTGCCGCTTCTCAGTACGGCTGGGCAGCAGACAGCAGTGACATGCTCTGAATCGTGCTGCAAATTTTTTATTGGTAGAAATTACCCCCTCAAAATTTCCCTGTCCAAGCTGCCTATGCTTCAATTTAGACTAATTTATTAACACCATGATTATCTTTAAACAATAAACATATTTACTTCTATCATGAGAAGTTAAACCCCTCCTTAAAATCATTGGGCGAGCAAAAGCACCATTTACTAATTACTGTCGTATACTGCATCAAACTAATTTCACTGAACATGCTGCAAGCTTTCAAAAAGTTTTAAATTTTGTTAATTTTATATTATAAGGCAGATCATTGATAACTACGAATTATTTAGCCTATTCACCTCAAGACATTACTTAGGCTTTATTTGGGACAATTTCGCAAAGAAAACTGAATCCTTTCTGTAGAATAACCATGGTCGAGATCAATATTTTCTACCGATGCTATTGTCTTCGTCACTAAAACCTAAATACGGCGCCGATAAGACGTTGGGTCCAATGGTGTCAGTAGTATTTTAGCCCCTTTGAGATGTTACTTCTGCAAATTGCTCCATTGGCGCTTAATATTAGAACTCGTATTGCTTAATATAAAACCATTTACTTTGACTGCTGAGGAGATCGATCATTGAGTCTCCTAAGTTTTAATCGGACACTCTTTCGTCCGTATTAATCGGCGCACGGATATTAAAATGAACGTTTAACTTACGAAAACTACAATATATCTCAGTCGATACGACAGCAAACAGAAGAAGCAACCCAAGCACAGCTGCATTCAGCCCACAATCTGTTACTGGCAGCTTACAAGCATCGGATAGAAGAATGTGAGTTATCCCCCTGTATAACCTATGTTCAGATTAACCGCCAATAGACAAACACTGGCTCCCATTTCATCCGTCCGGGAACAAATCAGATAAGACAGGTGACATTCGGAATAACATATATAACACCTGTGGCTACGGGAGAAGACTACCTTTGAATATAATACTAGTGCTGGCTACCGCCACCTTGCGGCGGCGTTATGAGTGATGCCGTAAGACGACGTCGGCAATAGAGCTTTTACGGAAGGCGCGAACGTCATTTACTTGTTTTGTGAATAAAACATGCATTTTCATCGGCTACGTTGACAAGAATCATCGCGCGCGCTCGCGGTTCTGCGCAATATAATAATTTAGTTAAATCCAGCTGCGTTCTGTTCATGCGACAGCCGACATCAGACATGACAGCAGATGAATCCATAAATTTGGAACATTGGGGACAAATTTAAAAACAGGATTTTTGGTCTCAAACTTCTATTGCAGATATTTTAACTTAGTTATGATTACAGTAAGTTTTTAATGGTTGTTAGATTTGTTCATAATATATGAACGAAATAGACGAAAATATGGCGGGACCACACCTTGATTATTTATAGTAGTTATAAAGGGCTGGCAGGAGCCTATATTTTTACATGCATGGGCCAAGGGGCCTTCAAAAGTGACACAAAATGACCCACATTCATGGAATGAAGATGAACATTTTCCTCTAAGTGCTCAGAATTGTTGAAAATTGGTCGGATATCGGATTAGGAAAGAGTTCCAATTATTCCGAACTTGGCTTGAGTGGTCCTAAGACCAACACAAACTCTTTCCGAACAATTTTGAACCATTCATATGCATCATTTATGACTATTTTTGGCTTATTAGGGCAGATAAACGCATGTCCCCATTTGTCCCAATGTTTCAAAATCCGGATTCATCTACCTACCTATTGAACCTATTCATCTACTCCATGACAGCAATCTTCTGGCCGAATGGAACTAACCATAACCACACATGACACAGTTACTGTAAACACGATAGTCAAGCTCCGATTGACTCCTGCAGTATTTGTGGACGTGTGAATTTCTGTTTATCATAATTAATCGAATTTTTGCATATCAATATGATAAGGTCTAGATGTGTTAGATTCATGTCAACAAGTAAGACTCTAAAATAATCATCGGAAGGACTAATGTACAGTAAATTTAAAGAAAACCCTCGAACGAGAGAAGACAATTTACAAATCTTAAAAATATGTACACCTCCCCTAGCTATTATTATCACGACTTTCTTTTCTTCCACTTAGACAACTGAACATCTTATTATTATTATTATTAGACGCTTGGTTAAGAGTTAGATACTCGTTAGATAGAAAAGTAAAAATCTAATATTAAAAACAAATTGTTGCTATATAGCTCAACACATTGTTCAAAACGTCGAAGGTCCTTTTGTGTTTGCTTCCTCAGATGGACCAAAACAAACAAAAACAACAAGCCTCAAGTCAAATAGACCCCAAATCCGGTAAAAATTTTAATAATATAGATTTCAACTGTAGAACCTAAATGTCATCATTTCTGAGGACCGTGAATTTTGACTGTTTTTTTTTCTTGATTCAGGCTCGGTACTGGTACGTATCGTTCTCTCCGTCTAACCTCTCTATGTAGTCTTTCTCTATCAGTATACCAATACATTTCTGGGAGGGGAGGGTGTGTTAGCTAATTTAGCAAATAAATGTATATGGTTTCCATCGAAATATTATTGTCAGAACTCTGACAACTTTCCGCAATATATTTATTACGTTATATATTTATTACGTTATATATTTATTTATTGTAAGAATGCTCTTGCTCTGCACCCGCATCGAAATAAGGGCTAAAGCAGTAAGCAATATGAGCTAATCTGAATTTGAAATAACATCAGTAATTCAGTATTTTATAATATCACAGACAAGCACATGTTTCCTCTTACCTTGATAGCAGGGACGCTTGGCTGGAAATTCTGAAGTTGCTGCATCACTTCAGCTAGCAATAAGGAGTGCTTCAACTGTTTCCTCGACTTCATTGTCCGTACAATACACGCCTATCAAGCGGACCATTTACATATCAATTACATATTAATTATTAGCAATAAACATTATTTACATATTATTTACATATTATTTACATATTATTTACATATTATTTACATATTATTTACATATTATTTACATATTATTTACATATTAATTACATATTAATTATTAGCAATAAATGTTTCTCTTCAACACTAACAGTTCTTGAGTTCTGACTCTCACGAACAAATCTCTCCCAAAAAAACACTAATCTACCTGGATCACGAGCATACGATCGTCCTTAACACTTTGGTGCGCTTGTTCAGTTTCCTGTTTAGACTCACTCTTCAGAGGGAGGGCCAGGTTGACTCGTATCTTACGACTGGGGGAAGTTAAGTTACATGTGGCTGGAAGAGACATCGCCAGACTATGGAATAGACTAGAGATAATTAGATGTATCCTGAAATGCTGTAGATTCTGCTATTTATGTGTCAGTACGGTAGCACTGGGTCGCGTTGGGATACAAAAGGGAACTGCCTAAAAAGGATTAACAATATTAATATAGTAGACTTTTAATGGATGGGAATATAATATTAAACTCGGTGATATATTTGAATCAGCACACAGAACGACAGTGAGATTCTCTAGTCTACACTAATAGGCCTAAGCAATTCAGCAGAAGTCAGGTTGATATATTATATCAGCTATGAAATGCATTATCCCTTGAGATTAGCAAAACTTACTTGGAGTAGTTGAGATTAAGCTGTAAAAGATCTGTCACTTGCATTTCTGTATCCTTGGTAACACCATCCACTGACTGCTTCGACAACGCCTGATAACACACTTTGTTAACTCTTAATATAACCATTTTAACTCTTTACAACCTCTTTAAATTTAAACAGTAATAAAATATTAAAGTATCTTGTTCGCACTAACATAATAAGTATGCAAGAAGCGTTGACAGTAGTGTTGGGGCGATAATGAGCTGGTTATAATTTAATAAACATATTATCAACTAGTTATATCATTGTGTACTACTACTATACTACTTACCAGAACATTGAAGCTTACAAGCTGCTTTACTAACTGATCCAGCTTGTCCTGAAAAGTAAATTATTGTAAGTTATAAAAGTTAAGTAAGTTATAAAAGTTAAGTAAGTTATAAAAGTTAAGTAAGTTATAAAAGTTAAGTAAGTTATAAAAGTTGAGTAAGTTATAAAAGTTATAAAAGTTATGTAAGTTACGTGAGTTATATAAGTTACAGACTCTACTAACCACAAATACATGGCCATTGTGGTGACATAAAGGAATTTAATATTTTTTCCTCATTTACGTCATGACGATGACTTGTAGGATTTTTGGAGTTATACATAACTTAATAGTTATATTAATAGTTTAATATAATGTAATGCGTACCATGCTTACGTACTGCTCAGTATGCGGCGATGAAGGAACACATTATTAAGTTTTTCAGCTACAAAAACATAAAAAATAACGTTTCCTAAATGTGGGATCGCATTAATAAGGATGCACATTGGTTCCTATCTGTGCCATGGTTATAGAAATCATTTAAAAACCAGGCAAGAATCGAGAATATACTTCGAGTATCAAACTTTATTTCATCTATTTATCTATTTATGTAATTACGAATCACTGAATTCTCACATTGTCGATCATAGTGTTGGTCTGAAGCTCGCCGAAAGTGAGTGAGTCCCGGTGGTTAAATTGGAAGAGTATACTCAGTTGAAAAGTAGTACAGTGGAATCGATGAGAAGTCTTGGGTTTCCCTCGCGACCATTCCACCTCACCTGAAAGGGGTTTATTACTAAAAACTGGTATTTCGTGATTAAAATATAGATAGTCGATCACTGATTATTAAATTATGCTCTATAACTTTGGCGCAATCGAATTGGAAGAGTGATGGACAATGGACATGGTTCAGTACACAATTATATAACGTAATGGTGATAAAATCGCACGATCCACATATATAATAAACGCAGCAAGATCACGGTTGAAATTGGACGATTGCCAAGCTGCATCTAATTAAACAAGCCTTAATTACCAAATGTGTTCAAGTTGTTAAATAAGTTTAAAACTTAGAATAGCCCCTCACCCTTGCTCTGACTGTAGAGCCAGCTGAGTTTACGACCACTGTGCTGCTTGTCGTAGAACGATGAGAACCTATCGTGGATGGTCCGGAGTTCGGGGGCGATGTTGAACTCTGAACTGGGACGAGAGTACGGCCACGAACCGTCCGACAACACCATTACGGAGAAACCTTGTACTGTAAAGAATACAGTCACTCAGATTAAACATAATCACTCAGACAGTAATACTTTTATTGAAATAAGTCACAGAGATTAAGTTCATCGATTTTATGATTGGATCGAATTTTTCAACCAAAAAACTCCCCACCCTTATTCCTTTCATTAAGGAAAATATTCTCACGTGAGTCGTTAGGTGCAGGGTTGGCACTGCAATACTCCTGGAACCTATCATTCAGATCTTTACTGGTGTGCGTGTCCGTGTACATCTTTTGTAACTTACTCGTGTACTCGAACCCACATTCTTGCTGTTTGTACAAGAAACTTCAGATAAACATGCAAATGTCATTATTCATTAACTTATTAGACACTTGGAACATCGATGTGTACTGTGTACTGTGTACTGTGTACTGTGTACTGTGTGCTGTGTACTGTGTACTGTGTACTGTGTACTGTGTACTGTGTACTGTGTACTGTGTACTGTGTACTGTGTACTGTGTACTGTGTACTGTGTACATGAACCGATTCTAGAGAAGCTCAAAGAATGTGTTTTGACAACAGAATGAGATGAAGGCTGGGAACAAACCTTCAGTTTTGTGTACTGTGTATAATGTATAATGTACAAACCTTGAGTTTTGAGATCATGCTACCCTCCAGGTCGTGAGATACGGAGGTATCGTTAACAAGTCTACTGGCTAACAAGTTCCGGTAGAACTTCTGGAAAACGTCTTTCTCTGTGATGTATTTGAAGATAACCATAACGTCGTTCAAGATACATTCTAACTCTTCTTCTTCGGGGTTTATACGAGAGCTGAAAAGATATTTGTTTTATTTTCATTTGTTTTATTTTTATTTAATGTATTGGTACGGAGGATCACGGCTCTCGACAATTCTTGTTAAACGGGAGAAAATCAAACAACTGACAAATACAACAGCCGTCATTTGGCCACTTGTTGATTACAACTGACATAGGGTATCACTAGCAAAGTAAATGACCTTTGTAAAAAGCCAACAAGTGCCCAAGCGTCGGTATTATACTCGGTTGTATTTTCTTACCAGTTATTTTATCTGTTTGTTGTCCGCCCTAAAAAAGCTGTAGTGCTCCCTACCAAAGCAATATTACAATCTCACGCCTAGCCCTAAATTATTTTCTCTCATGTAAGAAACGATAAAGTCATACTCAAAATTATACGGAAAGAGTATAAATGTTTACACTTTATAGCTTATGAATTAATTACCTCTTCTTCAAGAGGAGATTGCAGTATTTTGCCAACAATTCAGGCGATTTGCCTGTATTGTTAGCGGCCTCGGACACACAGTTTTTGTTTATAAATCCAGTACATGCTTTATCCAGTGCCTGTACAAATAGTGAGTTCTTGTCAAAGGACTTGTTTACCAGGTCGTTATACTTCCGATGTACGTCCAACAAGGCTTGCACGTAACTCTTAGGATCCTGAAGAGAAATTTTAAGTTTTGTGATTTTAAAATTAAAATATTGTACCAAGAAAATTTAGATTCGATAAGTGATGAATAAAGAGTCTGATTATAAGCTGATAAGTAGTAAACTAACCACAGATTCTTTAGATTCCTGACAACTCTGTACTGCTTTCAGCCCCACCCTCAGTATGTGATCTTCCAACAATTGTTTGAGATGCTTTAGTCCGCCTTCTAATCGATACACTAACTCGTACATTCTACCAATATCTGTAAACAAATCCCGGTTCAGAGAGTTACGGGGGGGGGGGGGGGGGGGGTACACTAACTCGTACATTCTACCAATATCTGTAAACAAATCCCGGTTCAGAGAGTTACGGGGGGGGGGGGGGGGGATACACTAACTCGTACATTCTACCAATATCTGTAAACAAATCCCGGTTCAGAGAGTTACGGGGAGGGGGGGGGATACACTAACTCGTACATTCTACCAATATCTGTAAACAAATCCCGGTTCAGAGAGTTACAGGTGGGGGGGGGATACACTAACTCATACATTCTACCAATATCTGTAAACAAATCCCGGTTCAGAGAGTTACGGGGGGGGGGGGGGGCGGGATACACTAACTCGTACATTCTACCAATATCTGTAAACAAATCCCGGTTCAGAGAGTTACGGGGGGGGGGGGGATACACTAACTCGTACATTCTACCAATATCTGTAAACAAATCCCGGTTCAGAGAGTGACGGGGGGGGGGGGGGGGGGGGGCGGGATACACTAACTCGTACATTCTACCAATATCTGTAAACAAATCCCGGTTCAGAGAGTTACGGGGGGGGGGGGGGGGGATACACTAACTCGTACATTCTACCAATATCTGTAAACAAATCCCGGTTCAGAGAGTTACGGGGAGGGGGGGGATACACTAACTCGTACATTCTACCAATATCTGTAAACAAATCCCGGTTCAGAGAGTTACAGGTGGGGGGGGGATACACTAACTCATACATTCTACCAATATCTGTAAACAAATCCCGGTTCAGAGAGTTACGGGGGGGGGGGGGGGGGGCGGGATACACTAACTCGTACATTCTACCAATATCTGTAAACAAATCCCGGTTCAGAGAGTTACGGGGGGGGGGGGGGATACACTAACTCGTACATTCTACCAATATCTGTAAACAAATCCCGGTTCAGAGAGTGACGGGGGGGGGGGGGGGCGGGATACACTAACTCGTACATTCTACCAATATCTGTAAACAAATCCAGGTTCAGAGAGTTACGGGGGGGGGGGGGGGGGTGGGGGATACACTAACTCGTACATTCTACCAATATCTGTAAACAAATCCCGGTTCAGAGAGTTACGGGGGGGGGGGGGGGGGATACACTAACTCGTACATTCTACCAATATCTGTAAACAAATCCCGGTTCAGAGAGTTACGGGGGGGGGGGGATACACTAACTCGTACATTCTACCAATATCTGTAAACAAATCCCGGTTCAGAGAGTTACGGGGGGGGGGGGGGGGGATACACTAACTCGTACATTCTACCAATATCTGTAAACAAATCCCGGTTCAGAGAGTTACGGGGGGGGGGGATACACTAACTCGTACATTCTACTAATATCTGTAAACAAATCCCGGTTCAGAGAGTTACGGGGGGGGGGGGGGGGGATACTCTAACTCGTACATTCTACCAATATCTGTAAACAAATCCAGGTTCAGAGAGTTACGGGGGGGGGGGGGGGGATACACTAACTCGTACATTCTACCAATATCTGTAAACAAATCCCGGTTCAGAGAGTTACGGGGGGGGGGGGGGGGATACACTAACTCGTACATTCTACCAATATCTGTAAACAAATCCCGGTTCAGAGAGTTACGGGGGGGGGGGGGGATACACTAACTCGTACATTCTACCAATATCTGTAAACAAATCCCGGTTCAGAGAGTTACGGGGGGGGGGGATACACTAACTCGTACATTCTACCAATATCTGTAAACAAATCCCGGTTCAGAGAGTTACGGGGGGGGGGGGGGATACACTAACTCGTACATTCTACCAATATCTGTAAACAAATCCCGGTTCAGAGAGTTACGGGGGGGGGGATACACTAACTCGTACATTCTACTAATATCTGTAAACAAATCCCGGTTCAGAGAGTTACGGGGGGGGGGGATACTCTAACTCGTACATTCTACCAATATCTGTAAACAAATCCAGGTTCAGAGAGTTACGGGGGGGGGGGGATACTCTAACTCGTACATTCTACCAATATCTGTAAACAAATCCCGGTTCAGAGAGTTACGGGGGGGGGGATACACTAACTCGTACATTCTACCAATATCTGTAAACAAATCCCGGTTCAGAGATCAGAGAGTTAGGGGGGGGGGGGGGGGGGATACACTAACTCGTACATTCTACCAATATCTGTAAACAAATCCCGGTTCAGAGAGTTACGGGGGGGGGGGGGGGGATACACTAATTCGTACATTCTACCAATATCTGTAAACAAATCCCGGTTCAGAGAGTTACGGGGGGGGGGGGGGGATACACTAACTCGTACATTCTACCAATATCTGTAAACAAATCCAGGTTCAGAGAGTTACGGGGGGGGGGGGGGGGGGATACACTAACTCGTACATTCTACCAATATTTGTAAACAAATCCAGGTTCAGAGAGTTACGGGGGGGGGGGGGATACACTAACTCGTACATTCTACCAATATCTGTAAACAAATCGAGGTTCAGAGAGTTACGGGGGGGGGGGGGGATACACTAACTCGTACATTCTACTAATATCTGTAAACAAATCCAGGTTCAGAGAGTTACGGGGGGGGGGGGGGGATACACTAACTCGTACATTCTACCAATATCTGTAAACAAATCCCGGTTCAGAGAGTTACGGGGGGGGGGGGGGGATACACTAACTCGTACATTCTACCAATATCTGTAAACAAATCCCGGTTCAGAGAGTTACGGGGGGGGGGGGGGGTACACTAACTCGTACATTCTACCAATATCTGTAAACAAATCCCGGTTCAGAGAGTTACGGGGGGGGGGGGGGGATACACTAACTCGTACATTCTACCAATATCTGTAAACAAATCCCGGTTCAGAGAGTTACGGGGGGGGGGGGGATACACTAACTCGTACATTCTACCAATATCTGTAAACAAATCCCGGTTCAGAGAGTTACGGGGGGGGATACACTAACTCGTACATTCTACCAATATCTGTAAACAAATCCCGGTTCAGAGAGTTACGGGGGGGGGGGGGGGATACACTAACTCGTACATTCTACCAATATCTGTAAACAAATCCCGGTTCAGAGAGTTACGGGGGGGGGGGGGGATACACTAACTCGTACATTCTACCAATATCTGTAAACAAATCGAGGTTCAGAGAGTTACGGGGGGGGGGGGGGGGGGGGATACACTAACTCGTACATTCTACCAATATCTGTAAACAAATCCCGGTTCAGAGAGTTACGGGGGGGGGGGGGGGGGGATACACTAACTCGTACATTCTACCAATATCTGTAAACAAATCCCGGTTCAGAGAGTTACGGGGAGGGGGGGCGGGTGATAAAATTTAAATTACAGCTTTGATCCAGTAACAAAACTTATCAACTCAGCTCTATAAAATTCATAAAACTTATAAAATTGCAAACCTTCGTTTTTATCGTTATCAAGAAGGTTCTGGAACTCGGAGTAAAATATATCTAGATGTTGCTCCACTAAAACCTGCAAACACCTTTTTTCTAGTTCACTTCTTGTGCTTTCGTTAAGGTATTTATCGCACCTTTCCTGCTCATCCTTCAACCTTTTCTGTGCTTTCTTCAGATATTCTGGCACCTGATCAGACGGGAGGTCAAGAATATCTTTCAACTGACTGCATCATTGCATAACTAAAATATGTGCTAGTGTTGCCAAGTGCAAATGTGCAAACATTTTGAGTCTGTTCCAAGAAATGGCATAATGCATTGCCTTTATTGTATCTTACGGGATTCTGTTCAAGAAATTGCATGCTTTCACTGGTGTAATAACTCGTCGTCTCTGCTAAGAAATGATGTTCGAAGTTCTGAGAGTACACCAACAATCGGGCCTCAGGGGCGTTTCCTTTCAATCCTAACTGAACAAAACTTTCCACCGCTGTTTTGATGAGGCCGTTGTTCACGACTTCCCCATTCCTTTCCTTCTCTATCAGTTTCAAGACTGCTCGAGTGACCTGTAGGAAGAGGACAGTGGTTGTAGATCATGATGAGATTTAATACTAACGAAGTGAACACGAAAACACATTAAACGATAACATGTGACCTTTCATGCTGGTCCTTTTGATAACTATGGCGGCCGAGATGGCTCACCTAAATTTTCACTGAAAATTTGTAATTTAAAAATTAATTATACAATTAATCACAAAATAAAAACGATTTTACATTTGATTTCTAAAATTATTTTAAAATTTAAATAAAAAACGATTTTCATATTGAAATTAAAAACAATTCTCATTTTGAAAACGGTTTTGATTTCGATTTTGATTTTGATTTTGATTTCAATTTTGATTTTCATTTTGAAAACGATATTGATTTTGACTTTAAAAACGATATCGATTTTGATTTTAAAAACGATATTGGTTTTGATTTTAAAAACGATATTGATTTTGATTTTGAAAACGATATTGATTTTGATTTTGAAAACGGTATCTATTTTGATTTTGAAAACGATATTGATTTTGATTTTGAAAACGGTATCTATTTTGATTTTGAAAACGATATTGATTTTGATTTTGAAAACGTTTTTGATTTTGAAAACGGTTTTGATTTTGAAAACGATTTTTATTTTGCAAACGATTTGCACGTACGTTTATATAGGTGAGCCATCTCGGCCACGCGCAAAACAAAATCATTTTCAAATTTGAAAATGAAAACGATTTTGTTTTGCGCGTGGCCGAGATGGCTCACCTATATGTACGTACGTGCTGCGCCACATTAATGATTTTAAAACGTATGCGCGTTCCATATTGACCGCTTTTACATATTCTGCATCAGAAATTGCCATATAACACGTGGGAATATGGCTATAAATATATTTTGCACTATAGATTTTGGAAAGTGCTTATTAACCCGATAAACTCAGTGAATGTCCTTGCTGAACGGTCTGTGAAACAAGGAACTGAAACTGAGGGGTCCCGTGCAGTGCACTATAATAGTGCAAATTACATTTATAAATGGCAAATTCCTTATATGTTTAATGTTGCGGTCACGAGTCATCTCTGCTACCTATTTACCGTGCCTCCCGATTTATCATACGCAGTGGTTTTTTACCGCATGAAATTCACATTAGACCATGCATGCATCTCCCTTTCCCCGACAAGCACGGCTAATCGGGAGATAACTATAACACTAGTTACCACCAGCCATACTCTATGATCCCAATAAATTTCATGAGCGTTATCGTTCATTCACTACCCGAATAAACGGTACATCAGCGCAATATATATATATATATTTTTTAATATATTCTATTTAATTTGACCAATTTTACTTTTGATATAACAGCACCTTTAAACTTAGATTAGAATGAACAACACCTTCATTATTAGGACAAAATAAATCATAAATAGTATTTAACAGAATATCAAAACAAACACACTTCTCCGTGCATTTTGGGTGCGCTGCAGACTATATGTCAAAAATAACATAATTGGTACGATTTGGGAGCAACACGGCTCTAGGCAACTCTGTTGAAACTTTGAAAGGATAAGTGAAACGATACGAATTTGGGATTAAATTTAGATCAAAACCGACATTACGGCACGTATTGACCTCACTTCCGGTCAGTGATGTGGAAGTATAGACCGTTTCGCTGGTCCAGGGTGGGACATTCCTGTGAGTTGACAGAATATGCTTTGTTCAGTGATCACGACAGTTGTGAAAGTTTTGTTTGACCACAGCTGTGAGAAGCAAGTTGGGAGGAAAGAGCCCCTTCCCTTGGTACCACATGATCACTTCGTTGTAGTTTGGGTTGCTCGACAACCATGTTTTGAGAATAGCTGTAAATTTAGGGAAAAACTGTTTATCAAACAGCGAAGCTAGATGCACAGGTGATATCATGTCAGCCCAGGACAAGACCCAGTGAAACGGGTCTAATATTTGGTGATTAGGATTTATAACAAGTTCACCGAGACATTGATTCAATTTGGGGACAATGCACTTCAATAAAAAAGTGTCCATCGAAGCTGTGGACCAAACACCAAGCCAAGGTTGTATAATTAGTTTAGCTGAGGGGTCAGATGGGTGCCATTCTCGCAGGGCATTGCCAAGTTTTTGTCTTATTGTAGGGAAAACATCAGACATAGCATCACCACTTACAGGAAGCCAGGGCTGTAACCAGGAATGAATGGGAACTGTGTCTGAAGTAGGATTCCATTTATCAACTTCTGAACGTAACCTGGGGAGGAGTAGGGAGTAGAGAATGTTATTAACCATCCAGGATGGTAAAAGAGGCAGCCAAGTCTCAATCAGTTTAATCAGCTGGTCTGAGTCCCTTACATTCCAGCTCTGCATTGCTTGCCGGATGTATGGCATCCACACATTCCAAAGAAGATGATGAAAAGGGTCAAGATCACCCTGACACCCAGTATTTGGATCTTCCTCCAAAAGCTCTCTCCAAGTTACAAAATAATCGATACCGAAGCTGGGATTTATTGGAGGCTGCCATGGCTTCATTAATTCCTTCAACCTAGGATACAGCAGAGGAATTGCAACGTTCTTAAGATTGTACTTCTTGTAAACTTCTTTGTTCGCTTTGATTTTTGTGAAAATATCCTCACAGTCATCCAATGAGATTGGGGCCCCTGACGATGGGTTCATCCTACATTTCACATCAGAAATTATCTGTGTTATGTCAATAAGGGAATGAAGAGCTGATCTTTGTCTGTCAATTACAGTCTCTTTTTTCTCTTTATCATACTTAAGGTTCACAATGGTATCCTTTTCATATTGTAGCTTTTTATGATTAGACAGTAGGTCCGACTCAGTCATGTCGACAAGAATGCTGATATTGTAAACTAATTCTGGGAGATACTCGGATTTTAGGTCAACTCTGCCTGATAAGTTGTTTTGGTCAGGTTTAGCGGCTTGTGAATGAATCTTGCCATAACCTTGATATTCTTTGACTTCTGGGCCAGTCATATCCAAAACTTTCGTTTTGTTTGTGTCCAACTTCTTGCCTTTGAAAAGTCCTTCAGATAAAACTTGATCAACCGTTTTGTATGAATATTTTACTTTTTCGGTGGACTTTTTCCACTGTGGGTCGGATTGGGTTTCAATAGCAAGTGTTTCATCATCATCACCCCCTTCAATCCGATCAATGTGAGCATCTTTTGCCAACTTTGCCACTCTAATGTCTGCCTGAGCTTTCTTTTCAGCACCATGATAGCTCATTCCAGCTTTTTTACCTTTTCTCAGAGTGGCCCTGACTGGTTCAACTAAACCCTGACCTTCTTTCCCCAAACCTTTTCCTGGTTCATATCCCATTTTAGCCATTAATTTACTACCAATACCGCTGGTGTATTTCTCCCAAGAAGCGTAATCTTTGCTCAACTTCCCATCGTTCCTTGCTCCTCGCATGGTCGTATTTTGAGGTTTTCTACTCTTTTTTTCATCATCTAAAGTTGTACTTGTGGAAGATACAAAAGCTACACCCTTTTTATTTCGCTTTCCTTGTCGAGGCAAATACTCTTGTCCATCTTCCTCTCCACCACTATCATTCCACATTCCATAAATAGCATCGTCCTTGGTGAATTTTCTCGCATTGTTAGCCAGTGGATCCATAGCGAAATCCCAGTCTGCTTGAGTGACACCCTCCATCTCCTCATCTTCATATAATGGTTCCTCATCCTCGTACTGCTGTTCATACTCGTCCTCGGAGTTATCCGATATTTGATCTGCCATCGTGTCAAACTGAACCTGAACAAAAATTAGTTAATTCTAATTATTATTCTTTCAGCATTCAAGCAGTAATTTCATTCAATTTTGATAATCAATCAACACAAATGGGAAGAAAACATGAAAAAACACTGATATAATCTATTAATTTGCCATAACAATTTGGTTTTTGATTTTGCTTTCATTCGCACCATTAATACCATTATTACAAAAGGTCCCTCAATGAAAACACAAGTTAAAACCAAGATTAAAAAAGAAGTAATTTATTTAATGCCACAACCACGCATAGAAGGGGCAGTTATAACTTGATCATTGATCTTCCATTGTACACCTTTATACAGAGCATGTCCTTCAGGTGAGACTAAGATATCTGGTTGAATCCCTTCAAAAACCTTTTTCTTAGGATTCAATTGTTGGTCAGGTGTACCAGAGAACCCCTCAACAGTTACTTTATCTCCAGGTTTGGAGCCAGCTGGAGGGTCCAAAATCTCAACTTTCTCAGGAGCACTAGCACACATCACCATAGCATGAGACATTATACCTCTCATTTTAGCAGGTTTAAGATTGCAGAGTACCACACAAGGTCTCTGCTGCATTTGCTCGAGAGGGATGTGTTTCACCAAACCACTGATCACCTGTCGTGGCTCAGGTTCTCCACAATCTATCTCTTCGAGATACAATCCATCTGCATCAGGGTGTTGTTTAGCGCTGTTAATGAACCCAACCCTCATGTCAAGTCGTGAGACATCAACAGGTAGACTAGCAGCAGCTTGTTGTTGCTGTGCTGGTTTTCCTTGCTTCTTTGCTGCTTTTTTCTTGTTCTCTTTTGGAGAACTGGAGCCATTGCAGCAGGAGTTATTGGTTGAGCTTTAGCAGGTTCTACAGGTGCAGCTTTACTAGCAGGTTGTGATCCAAATTGCTTCCTGCCATTCACAGTCTCAAGATCAACCAACTGTTCTTTCAGATCTTCAACTTGCCTTTTTAGCTTCTCATTTTCGGCAAGTAATTGTTTTTTGTAAGTGGAAGAATCTTTTACAAGATTTCCCTTGCTTCTGAGGTTCAAAACTTGCTGTCTAAGAAGCTCAAGCACAGTATCAATCTGACCTGCTTTCGTTGTACAAGCCCTGGCCGACATCCTGCACAATAAACCATATCAATTTGTTGATGTAAAATAAATTCACTTTAAAATTCTAAGAATAAGATCGATTTAATAAAATGTGTTTATTGATTTTATTACATGTCCTTGAAACGTTCCTTAGTAAGCCAAATAAAAATGACGTTTCCGGTCGAGGTACAGTTCATGTGTATATTTCTAAAGCCAAAGATTTGTTATTTTGGCTAATAACTCGGTTATGCAATGGATGGATCGAATTGTTTAACCCAAATTGGAGCAAAAACCATATTTGACGAAATACCCATTCTACTAATTATAACAAAATTCTACTGAGATAATTCCAAATGTTTTAAGGGATATAACAAGTTCAAGTTGTGTCACTTGCTGTTCGAAGCTGTGATAACAGGAGCCTTAGCAACAGAAGATTTGATTTTGGTAAATGCAATGTGTGCAGTTTAAGGCTTTAAAATTAAATTAGAAGGATTTAAGAAAATATAATTACTTAAAGTATTACAAATGATTGCTTGTTTTGTAATGTTTTATGAAGTTTAGGGAAGAATTGAGGGTGCAGTTATTTTATGACAGTAATAAAAAAGAGAAAATTTCGAGTATCTTTGGTTTATCCTTATGTGGCAAAAGAAGCGATTTATAAATCTTTATCCACTGGGAAGTTTGATTAGGTTTTTAAAATGGGATACTGTAATGTTTTGATACATTTTTTTAAATATTGTACGGGTTCGGCCTTACAAATGGACAGGCTCACAAAATGAACAGCCCACATAGGACCATGCTGTATTTAGGTTCCTATAAATTAACCTATTCATCTTACTGTATGAAAGATAAAAAAAAAAGCATTAATTAACACTTCAGGAATGATAATGACATAGATTCAATATTTCTTTCACAAAAATTATGGACGTATTTTGCTGTTCTGGTCATTGCCCCGGCTCTAAACTGTTACCAGAAATGGAGACCAAGGTTTAGAATTTAACCCAGAAAACAAGGTTCTACCATGGACTTATGTCATCAAAGACTACTCTGGTCAAATAAATAAAAAACTGATTTAGTGACCTTTGGTAGATGAAAGAATGACAAAATAATAAATGAATAGCTCACATAAATGGACAGTGTTTGCCTCACAAAATGACAGTTTTATTTTATGATACAAGATGGCATATTAAAATTGGATGCCCCTTGCATAATTATTGGTATTCTTAACCAGTAAGGCTTATATGATGTGCCTAAATGTGTTGTTTGATCATCAATTTTGATCAAAATGCCTCACAAAATGACACGAAAAGCCTTTACAAAAATGACTCTATGTTTCAGATTGAATTACTTTCAATCATCTAAAATGGATCAGAAGCAGTCAATACAAGAAGGAGTTAATAATAATCAAAATCTGACAGTTAACAATCAAGTAGCATTTACATAAAGTGCTTAGTTCTGGTATCAAAACTTTGATTTCATACTCTTGATTTCAAACTCTGATTTCAAAAACTAAACGTAAATGAACGCTTCTCTTTTGTGAATGCACAGGAGAGTAATAAAAAAAACTCCTAAAAAGTAACTATAACACTGAAAAGTGATCGATCCAGTCTAGAAAATATCAAATATAACCAATTAACTGTATTACTAGTATGAAACAAAAAATGATTTTTACGCCTCTCACAAAATGACAATTTTTAAAAAATTTTTCAGAGTATAAAAAAATGTTCCTTTTTTTATTTATTCTGGTAATACAGAATGGTATATATATAACAACATATATATTTCTAACGTTAAGACACTTGAAAGTATAATGAAATTTTTCCCAATCGGATTTTGAAGTGAGCCCGTTTGGGTTGTAATTTGTAAGGCACTATCTCACGCGAAATTGGCCCAACTTTTTTTAATCATCCCTTTTTCCTGTAAACAGCTATTTATTCTTCAATCTATTGTATTTATCTAATGTCCTAGGCAGTGAAATCAATTGCATAGGCTGCTGTTAAAAATGACAGCCGTGACGAAAATTGTCTTTTTGTTATGGCATGTTTTTTTGGAAGATTTCAAAGATGACATTTTTATCTGCAAAATTTCGTTTTTTCAATCAATATCAACCACCGGGAAGGAAAAGTCTACCGTTTGAACTACCTATCTGGATAATAAAACAGGAAACAAAACTCATTTTTTGTGCATTTCAGTGCCATCTCCTTTTTCGTGTCATTTGTAAGGCCGATTACCGTATTGTAAATAAATACTTGGCGATTATATTTCAATACCTTCTTGTGGTCACAGAGCATATTTGATGGCTTTGAGAGCCTACCAAGGTTTTTTCTTTCATTCACCATAAATATTTTTGATCCCAGAGTGTTGCCTATGGACACGAACTAACTTCAGTGAAAAAATTTTGTGGCCAGGTCATTCTTGTAGGAGATATTCAGGAGGTGCCGGGAATCCGGGTCCCGGTCAACCGGTCAAATGCTGATTTATGAATCCTGGTCCGGTCCCGGTTAATTCAGGATTATTGGTCCCGGTCCGGGTACCCGTTCAAGCATCTCAAATTTGCCAGGGATTTTGACCGGGAATCTTTTACATCATTTCATTCTCTGTGATTTTAGGTTTTTACTTTCATTCATTGTGATTTCATCTTTAAAAATTCTGAGCCAATAAAACAATGTTTAAAATGCTAAACAAGTTTAGGTAACTAATATCGTTACATAACTCATAATGAAATTACATCAAGTTTTCAACTCGGGCTACGCACCAATTGTCAATTGGAATTGGAGAATGAAAACTGTTGAATAATTATGAGGGATCATTGATTGAGGGAATGAGGAATGGGGGTGAACTGAGTAATCGTACATGAACATTCAACATTATTGGTGTAGTACATTAGGCCCATGCCTTTTTGACGGTTTTTTAAAGTTTTTTCTAAATTTAATATTCTAGTTATTACTTATTCAAATTGTTCATTAATAATGTAAATGAAAGTTGCAGGCTTTTCAATATGAGAAACCAGTTTTTGGTCCCGCCCCCGTCATCCGGTCAAATCCCGGTCATCCCGGTAATATTGGATTGTTGGTCCCGGTCCGGTTCCGGTAAAGATCTAGTTCCAGGAATGATTGGTCCCGGTCCGATCCCGGGTCCGGTTGGTAAATTGGATACTCTCAGTCCCGGTCCCGGTCAAGTCACATTTTGTATCCCGGTTCTGAAAAAATATCATTGTAGACTTATTTTCTATCGAAATTTTACCCAATCAGGTTCTTTTTAGAAGCAAACATGTTTAAAAGACAAAAGGGGCAATTGAATGATCACAATGCTCAATATACAAAGATATTGTCCACAGTGCATCAATTTTGCAATTTTAAGCCATAAATTTGCCCTATTATTAATTATCAACTATGTACAGCAAAACAAGATAATAAGGAAAATAAATCCTAAGATCAAGTGGCCGAGTAGTCTCGACTCACCCATAGCTTCTCCATAAACGTCTATCATGAGCTTTGTACACTAAATCGTTGAAATTACTTACAAATTTGCCCTAGAAGCCAGTAATGTTATTTTAGGGATGTGATGACTTGAAAATCATAGATTATTACGACCAGGTACACATTTTAATCAAAATGAAGGATGCTATTGTTGAGAATTTGAGGAAACGACTTCAAAAATCTGATAACCGCAAATTCAAAATTTCAAATTCTTACTTTTTCTGGGAAAAATGGTGTTTCAAAACAAATATTTTAATATTTACCCACTATTTGCACTCTACTGAGATAGGTCTTATGCATTTTAAAGGTTTAAAGTGACCCAAGTCACTCTGAGAAAACTTTTCTCGCCTTTTTTCGTCACAGACCTTCATCAGCTTCTTTAAGGAGTCGCCTAGAAAAACCCATACACGGTGGACAAAATTTGAAATTTGCACAATCATCTGTGACATCTGAATATCCTATGACCAGAAAATTGGAGCCAGAAATCATTTCCACATCTCCTGGCATTCAATCAAACGAAATTTTAATTTTTCAGAAAAAGTTCAGATTTTTGACTTCAATAAGCTACTAACATTTTTCTGTTCCGTATTTTAGCATAAAATTTGTTGATCCAGACCCTCAAAACATTTGTCTACCAAATTAAACCGGAATTTATGGCCAAAGGGGGTTTTGAAATCGTGGCCTCCGTGCAACCGGTTTTGAAATATCGCCTAATGTTGGTGGGGAAATATTAATTGTATATTTTTTCATATTTTGTAGACATGTGTGATGATGTGATGTCATCAATTTTACGTTACTTTACTTTTACAGAAAATACCAGAAAGTCTGGGTATAATTCAGACATCTTTAGCCCAAAACTGCAGTAGTTATATTATAGAGAAAGGTTTGTATCACCTCAATTCACCCTCATTAGAGCACTACACTAAACTGTTCAATCGCTTTGTAAATCAAACAGTCAACAGTCCAGTGGGCCCCAATTTGTGGAGATTTCCTAGCCATGTGGTCATAAATCCCTACACTTCTCAAAAACCAGATGAACTCGATCACTCAACTTGCTAAGGAATACAGACTTAAGGCTCCAACCTTGATGCCGTAGCACTAATGATAAATACATCAACATCTGGGAAATAAGAACAAATCAAATAAACGCACAATCATGTCATAGTTAAGGTCCTATGGGTGACAGGTGTTTGTCCTCTTCAATGCAGCTTAAATTCGGATTTTGATTGAGGATTGGTGCATAATGGTCAATGATTATGAGGGTTTTATTGGTCAACTAACGGTCATCTAACAATGACCACGATAATTGCAACCACATAGACCCGATCTGGGTGAATTTTGGCATGTTGATTGGGTTCTCAGAGTTCTCAGATTAACATTTATTTGCCCAATCATCCTGATAAGTGGGAAACCGGATCCGAGGGAAAGGTATGTAGGACACCGAAAAGGATCACCAACTGCTGTTTGCGGTGGACTCACCAACAGTAACACTGGGACTACCGGGAAAGGATTATCGGCTTCTGTAGACAAGGATGATTCACCAACTGAAACT